GGTGGGGCAGTGCCAAACCTAAACCCGAAAAGCAAAAACGCGCAAGACCATCGTCCAACAGAAATTCAAGTAGATCGGGAGCTGTAGGGTAGAACTTCTGATCGTGAGATAAGTAACCCAAACCTTAATGAGCACGAGATGCGCGGGGAAGGGGAACAGGGAACCCTGCACCCCAAAATCCTACTCAAACGGAAGTAGATAGATAAGCAGTTCGATGAGGGAAAGAACCGGTGAACCTACAACTGAAATGGCAGGGGTGGGAGACCCTAAACCCGACAAGGACAACCAACCTCGATTGAAATCTAGCAGACATGGCAGACCCTGACAGGGACATGAGATGGAGATGATGAGTGCGAAACCCAGAACACTAGCAAGAGATGGCGATTGCGAAGGGTGCTCGCGGGATCTCTGATACTTGCAAAGCTGGTGCCTGAATCGGTGGCGGCCCGAGTCGAACTCGCTTTGCTACAGACTGGCTGAAACCAAACACAGAAAGCATGCAAAAGACGATAAAGACAGAAGGGCTGCCGAGGGCTTGGGGAATGGCTGTTTCTATCGGTCCATCTTCCGAATCTGTGCCAATGCGTTCTGGGCTGCACTGCTGGAAGACTCCTCCGGGTGTAAGCGGCTGACCTGGACGTCCGCTGACACGAAGATGACCAGAGAATGTCCCAAAATCCCGAGCCGGGATGGTATGGAACCACCTCAGCAGTTCAGTGCCTGCACCCATTCAGCGGAGCTCCCTAGCAAGCCCACTTGCGACCTGAACTTGTCGACTATCTTTTCGTGGCTGAGCATGGCTCGCTTCAAGGTCCGAGGCCGTGACGCTGCTTTCGGCAAGCTCGTCACCACGGTTCACGCAGCACTGCCTAGTTCCGCGGGTTGCTGGTTCTCGCATTGCAGCAAAAACTGGCAGAGGCACCCCTACACGATGCACGGACAGCAAACAGCTTTTCAGTCCACGGCATGACCGTGGGAGCCCGAATCGCCCCAAGGCCTTCACGGAGACTGCGGCAATCAAACCCGACACTTACCTCTCACGCTGGCCATTGTCAGTGAAGCAAGCTGGTTGCAGCACGGTCTCTACCAAAAGGCCCTCAACCATGGGAAACAGCATGATTTACTGGCACATCCTGTTCAGCCAGCAGTTCCCTAGGTCCTGAGCTTTCCGCGAGGTTGCAGCGAGAGCGGGCGCGCACCGGCGCGCTCGCAGCGCTGACAGGCTCCCTCAGATCCCCGCCATGGGCCAAACCGGGCTCCACTCTTCGAAATGCGTTGCGGTAATTGGCCTCTTTTGGAATGCCCAGTTTGCACGAAGTCTCGGAGATGTGGGCTCAAGATGGCTCAAGGGCTCAGCCTGCTGTTGGTCGCGTTGGCCCCGGCGACTGGTATGGGTTTGGGCACTGGAGATCACGTGGACGCTGGTCCCTGGTTAGGTGTTGTAATCTTCTCTTGCCTCGGCATGGCAAGATCTCAGAGCCAAAATGATCAAACGGAAGCCAGTCCGTGCAGAACAGAGACAGGTTTCATTGTCATGCTCCATCGACCTTCGCTACTGCCTGAACGCACACAGGCTTTTCGAGCTCGAGCCTTTGCGCTCCTCGCAAGTCTCTGGAGGTCTCCACAACCCAGGGTGCTACGCATAGGCTGCACGAAAAGTGGCGAGCGTTCTCATCTCTGTGAGACAAGCAAACACAACGGATCTGCAGGAAACTGGCCATGCGACTTTCACACCACGATTTGTCACTGCCACCACCATAAGCATCGAAAACTGATGGCAGAACAGCACCAGCTTATGGCAAACAACGGAGCTCCAAGACTCCCTTTCTCAGCAGCAATATAGTCCGTTACGAGGAGCTCCGGTTTAGCACATCGCCTGCTGGAGAAATGTTGCGAGCGGCTTCATCCGCTACAGCCATCTACGTGTCTCCGGCAAAGCCGTTACGTGACCAGCTGCCACATGACAAGATAGAATCTTCATCATAGAGCTGTCAAGACCTGGCATACTCAGACTGGCACCTGAGTTGTTGACTATACCAACATACATTGGTCTCCCGACTGATAGGCTTTAAGCCCTCAGATGAAGAGCTACGAGATCAGTCAGCTTCGCGTGCCACCTGGCACCAACGTCATCCGATGCCCAAACCCGCAGACAGTCGGCGGGCCTCGAAGAAACCACCCCATTTCAGCCCGCCCTGCATGGCACGGCCACTGATTGTGCCCGGCCTGCAGAGACTGTCGAAAGACAAGTGCAAAACTGTGAGCATGCTTGACTTGGGCCGTAGCCCGGCACCGTTCAGGGTGCCATTCAGGACCGTATCTTCGTCCTGCAACGATGTTCTGTTGAGAGTTGTCATACACTTGCCTTCTTGAAGTACCACCTCGTCGAGAGCACGTAGCTGGAATGGGTAATGATTAGTCTAAATGGAATTCAATGTGCCAGTTACTAGCTTCCCATTTCACTGTCTCACTCCATGTACACAACGCTTCCGCCGATTCCGCTTTATCTCACACATGCGTCTGGTGTTGGCTTCACAAAGACCGAAAACGGTACATCCATGAGGGGGAAGCGAAAATGTCGTGTTTATCTCGGCGCCTTTCTTTTGCCGGGACAGACTTCATAAGATCAAGAATCCTCAGGCCTGCTATATTCGCTTTCGCGGCACTCGTAATGGAACTATTCGAAGGGTAGTTGTCATGCATGCTCTGACGCGTGCAGATACTATTCAAGATACTATGTGTGTTGTCATATTCAAGCAGTTACCTAAACCAGCACGAGGTGGTACCAAATGAATATTCTCATGTACTACGGCCAGAACAGCAAATGGCCGAGTTCTGTGAGTCATACAACTCACAGAATAACTCCTAAGTCCAACAGAACCGTTACCAAACGCACGTCTAATTTTCTCGTCAATCAAATTCACGGGGCAGCTCGACAAGTAATGCAGTAGATTTTTGTGTGCCCTGAGATTCGAGGCTGGCTGGTTGGGAACGCTGCAGAAAATCTGGAAGTACAAAAAACAAGACTATGGCTCTTGGCCGGACGTAATTCGAAATTCACCGCACATCTGGTAGAAACAATGTCAGCAAAATCGACGAAAACCAGCCAGCCCAAATCGGCATAATCCAAACTACCAAACGCACAACTACAAAAAATGAATAAACGGCAACTTTTTCTGAAAGTGGTCCGGAAACGCTGCATTTCAGGACTCCGGACCATTTGGTTCTGAAGACTTGTTTCTTTTTGCTGTCGTCTTGGTGTTTTTGTTTTTGACTGCCGTCGCGGTGCCTCTTCATATTGGTTGTTTGGCTTGCGTTGTGTCGGTTGTGTTGATGTGTTGTGCATTGGTGTTTGCTGCTGTCTTTGGTATCCTTCTACTGGGATGCTTGAAAATTGCATCAGTGCCTTGTGCTATAATTTGCATCGGTTTTGCTTTTGCGACAAACCCAAAACGAAAAGCAGTGGACAGGTTATAGCCTCACACAGTGGAATGGGTGAGGAAGACCGTGTTAACCCCTGTCTGCCGGGTGCAGGTGTGCCCCCTCGAAGATCGACAATACCTAAAGACATGAGGCTTCATCAATACCGTTTCTCAAGGTCCTGCAATCAGCCTGACAAGAAGCCTTCGTGACATGTCCCGAGTGTCCCGGAAGATGATGCTGTCTCCTTCTTCAGCAATGACCTCGGCAAACCGATACCGATGCATTTTGTGTCCGCCGAAGTCTCCACTCACAAGCGGGACACCTTGCAGGGACCTTCATAAGACTTGCCGGCCTGGCAGGGTCCGGAGCTGCACCGAGCTGTTCGTTCTCCTACTAAGCTTTCTGCACTGCCTTCAGCCTCTTGTTGGGATCCGTGATCTTCCACGCACCCTTGTCATCACCAGGACCTACCTGCCGGGATATGCTGGGCGCGACCGGCCTATGCTCAAACCCCAGGGCCTCTACGACAAGGTCGAACTTCTGCCGTGTCGTCAGCACCTCGATAGCATGCCTTTGACATCCACGAGTGAGATTGCCGGCTGAGCTCGAGACAGGGTGCTTCACCCAGCCCACAAAGCGGTCTCCGGCCTGGACCTGAAATGAACTCCCTGGACTGACACGAGAGCCAAGAAGACACGAGAGCCACCCACCACCCTCACATCCACATCGCCTTCTCCATCTTCTGTCGGACTGGAGCACTTTCCTCTTCGCCCTTGGCAGCAATAACTTCACAGGCAAAGCATTGAGAAAAACCGTGCCAAGTGAAGCTACAAGCGACATGGGAAGGAAATGCCGATCATATTGGTGCAGGTGCAGGTGACAGCTTCTGGCAATTAAGGTATCGGAGGACGCTCTACCGTGTCGGCGTGATCAAAGTCATACAACGCAGGCCAATGACTGTGCATCCCAAAACAAACATGATTTCAGCCAATCCTGGATCAGTACAATCAAAAAACCCAACTGTCCTGCTTCTGCCTTTGCGGATGGATGAGTAGATAGATAGATAGATAGATAGATAGATAGATAAATAGATAGGTAGGTAGATAGATAGATAGATAGATAGGTCGATAGATAAATAGATAGATAGACAGATAGATGGATAGATGGATAGACAAATAGATAGATAGGTAGATAGTTAGATAGATAGGTAGACAGATAGATAGATAGATTGATTGACTGAGATACACCATAAGCAACAAGAGATTGTTTTGACCCATGAGGATCGGGCCCTCATGGCCACTGCCGCCCGCGTCTTCGCTGACCGTCTCGGAAGTGTGGACAAGTTACAGACCGCTCAACTCAAATCCTGTGGTTCTCATAAATAGTACTAGCAAGCCCTTGTAGTGCGTATTAAAGGTAGTGTTTGTAGAATGTGTCTCAAAACCCTGTTCTTATTCAGTCCCCTGTATGACCATTTGGGGAAACCGACGCAAGAAAGCAACCGTATGATTGATGGTCGTCGCTTGCTTCGGGTGCTCCGTCGCACTGTATTGCGACCACGATCAATGCAGATGGGTTCAGGTAAAGTAGAAAAGCATGAGACAGAGACAACAAGCAGGATCGTTATTTCTCTTGCTGACTGATCTTCGCACGTAAGCTACTCCTCAGGGTCAAACATCAAGAAAATTCCGTGTCATGCAATTGGGAGCTAGGCAGACAAGGTGCACACCAAGTTTCCGACTGAAGTTTGAGTAAAATGGAACCCCCAAGCTTCACCCCGACCAGTCTTGACTCCCATGTTGCAGCCATGCCATGGCGCCTTTTTGCCGCGACGCCCGCTGCCACAGCTGTGGCAACCGCTGCAAGCGTCGTCGGCGAACCTCGACTTTGCTATGGTCGAGTTGTCGGATGTGTCGAACCATTTGTTCATGTCAAAGAAACATATGACATATATGTTCGCAGTCTGCGAAGACGAAAGAAAGGGTGGGTGCTCGTTCTGTCCCTCAGAGAAGGTCCTTGCACACGTATAGCACTCTCGAAAAACACGGACTATCGCAGACTGACAGAAGGAGAGGCTTCGTTGTTGGATTGCGAAAATGGAGAACTTCAACAAGACATCATTCTTAAACGATGTTGCTAAATGCCCATCCCCACTCACGACTGTCAAGACTGTCCGGTCGCGACTCGAAAAACCCATTTCCCAAGCTGTTCCCGGTATAACACAGCAGAATTGCAAAACTATGGATCTGTCGATCGTGCTGGCCTCGTTCTGGAAGCTCATGCACCGCTCGCCCGGGCTTTGAGGCAAGCCTGCGTTGGAAGTTTCAGTCTCGTCCCAACTAAAACGCGAGCCAGAGCGAAAGCGGAAGCAACTGGTCCGAAGGCCGACACCCGCCCCCACAGCGCCCAGGGCCCCACGAAATCACAGAACCCGCACCGGCAATTGCCGTAGATCTTCCAAGGCAAATGACAAAAAAGGCAGTACGTTGACGCGAAGCGGAAGCCCAAAAAAACTACAAGTAACACTGAACGAACATTGGTACTCAGGAAAGTGACAGTGACCGTCAGCAGCAGCTGTCAAGCTCGCTGCAATTCCGAACACATGCTTGCTCGTCTCGCACCCTACAGGTGGCACATACTATCGTAAGGGTAATAGGTCTGCAGGACCGAGCTTGTTACAGGCTCTCAGAAAAAGCTGGAAACGCAGCCTTGCCTGGGCAAGGCTCCGTGCTGCACCCCGCCGAGAGCAAAGGCCTGAGTCCCATACGGACGGGAGCATAGAACTGGTAGATATGGAAAGCTTCCCAGATTCAGGCTGTTTGCTCGAACTTCTAAACACAGACTTCCTGCTCAGCTCAGAACCTCAGCGAGGAGTGCCATGGCGACCAAACCCCCAGACGCAGGGTCCGTCGCTCATGTAGTTTTCTATCGCTTGAGGAAGGCAGCGACAGACAGTTCGACTGTAAGGTCAAGCCCGACTGCCAAACTTCAGCTATGAGACATGTACTCTCTGATCCAGCTCTTCAGTCAGTTGAGGAGGCGAGGCCACCGTTTTTCCCAAGCTCGCTTCCAGGTCTCGTCACGGCGAGAGACCGAACCTTAAGCATCGAGGAACTGGCGGCCATGCTCATCGGCTCAACTCGGCACCCTGCTCTTTAGCAAGCTCGTCCAGTTCACCGCCTGCCTGCACGTGGAAGGATCAGAAGTGAGGCCTTTCCCGGCTTTCCCCCTGCCCCCGAAGCCTTGTGCGCGTACTGGACCCAAAGCGGCTCCTTGATCCACCACAAGCTGCAATCGTTCGTGGAGGAGCACCCAATCGCCCAGATCGGCCTCCAGCGAAGAGTCGGGCTCGCGCAGCAGAAAGTCCCGACTGTCAGGCCGGGGCATGTCAGGTGGCATGTCTGTCTGCTGCCTTCAAGAACGCCTCACTTGCACAGGAATCCAGACTCCTGCCGTAGAGGAGAGCTCGTCAACCTGTTCTGCTTCCAAATGTCTTTGGACTGCACTTGTGTTTTTTCTTTGGTGCCTCGTCGCCTTCCCACAGGATGCTATGATAGAAAAACTTGAATCGAAGGGAGGAGCCAGGCCCCTCAGCCGCAAGCAGGCCAATCGCCACCCCCAGGCTGCATTGCTGGACTGATCTGGACTGGAGGTTGAACGGGCTCCAGGCCGTGTGTATCCAGCGGCACGCGGTTTCGTAGTGATTACTGCGACAGCATGGGGCATCCACAGGCAAGCGCAAGGTCTTAACACAAACACGATACGGAACAGTGCTCAGCGACGCTCAGCGATGCTCCGTGAACAGCAGATGATTTTCCGTCTCGCATGCCAGACTGCCACGTATGACTCCTAAATCGTCGCCCTGCTGAAAACACTTCTTCAGGGCTCTGCAACACTGTCAGACGGCCAGCAACTTGTGGACCGCAAGCCAGAAATGCAGCGCTGCATCTCAACGCGGAGGTCATGTTGAGCAGGGACTCAGGCGAAGGCACAGCATGGCCTCCTGACAGGCCAGGGCTCAGCGCTGCAGGCATCCCGATCCCAACCATATCTCCCACCCTTGTCCTGGTCTTCGTGCCGGTCAGTTCCAGGTTGTGTGTGAGCCGCAGCGCCACAGAATTCGACGATGAGGCGAAGCAGTCAGGACTTGGCCTCCCGTTACTGACGGCAATGTAGCAAAGCAGGACATCTGCCCTGCTGCAGGAGAAATGCACAATCCATGCTGCCGGGGCGCTGCATGAGTGTTCGACTCCTTTACAGCCTGACAGCGAAAGTGCCCAAACCTCTTTCAGCGAAACACGCATTCCGCTTCAGCTCCTGCCAAAACTCCTCTGTGAGTCTCAGCTCCTCCTCCTGCAGAGTGGCTCAGCTTGGGATTGATGCGGAAGGGCTCACAGTCTTTCTGGGTTCTTCATCGAAACCATCTAGACTTGACGTCCACGATACACCATTATCTCGATAGGGATTTGCCCTGTCCAGAAATAGCAGATCACCTCAAGACCAAGAATGACCTTGAAATCCGACAGTAATATGCTGGGTGAGAGCTGTGGACACAAAGAAATCAGCCGTCCACCCGGGCCTTCTGCATTTGGAAAGCTTTGTCTTCTGCTTGCCGAAACTTTCTAACCCACCTGCCGCAAGCCATGGCGCAGAGCTCAGACATTGCCTGCGAGCCTGGTGTGTTTAACTTGCATACTCCCCTGCTGAGGATGGCACTGCTTGTGATTCCAAGCCTGCATTCCAGATTCATACAATGCTACCTGCACCAACTGAATCAAGTTCCACGGCGTCTACGAGTCTACGATCCCGGCTTGCCACTTGAGGCGCTTGAGCTCTGCCTCGGCACAAGCACGCCGACAACATGGAGGCAGAAACACAGAAGGTGCCTGGCCTTCCGACATCTTTCAATGATCTGCATCACATGGTTCTGTGTCTTCGCGCTTGAGACTGCCAATTCTCGAGAAGCCTGCAACAAGGCCGGGCAGAAAGAACGCGGAAGCCCTTCGCTTCCAGATCTCGGATGCTTTGGCACAACAATACGAACACAACAAGCACGTGCCTTCGTCAGCTTCCGCCACTTCGTCTCCTCCCGACACAACTGAACTTTACCTTCGCACAAAGTCTACACAGAAATTCATTAGACATGTACAGCCTTTGGTCCCGCAGGCACCGCTTTGCAAAACAAACGCACCAAAACCAAGCAAGCATCACAAAGGCACTGGACGTACCAAAGAAGCAACCGGTAACCATCAACCAAAGCCGCAGCACATCTCATCACTGTCCTGGCCAGTCTTCTTCTGAAGCGTCTTGAAGTGCTCGACCCAATCTGCCACCTGACACGAGCATTGCCCCCGAGAGGAAAGCCACTTCTAGCCCTGCGTCTCTCGTGCCTCATCCTTCTCTGCCTCTCCCATCTCTCGCATTGTGTCCTGAAACTTTCGGACCCACCTGGGCTACAAGCACCATCAATTAAAGCATTTCGGTCCGTCTAAGCAACAGCCATCACAGGGCCACACACAAAAGGATGAGCTGAGCTAAGCGCTTTTGACTCGCATCTTGGCCACCTCTGCCCATTTGGATCAACGTGGTCCTGGCCGGGGCCAGGCTCGCAAGAGAGGCTCTTCATGCCGCTGCAACGAGGGAGCGAAGGAGAGATCACGGCTCCTGAAGCCATCCTTCCATATCTTGGGCTCTTTCGCAATGGACCTCCCAGATAAGTCAAAATGACAGGCGGGCAGAGAAGCCAACAGCTATCAGGCATCAAGCTACGGTTTGCTACCGAGTTACATGCCGAATCTGTTAAAACTTAGCTCTGCAGGCACGCGACTCCTGAGTCCCTTGTATCATGTACCACAAAACACAGACTCGTCTTAAATTGGCCGCCAGCATGTCTGACCCGGACTGCAATACACATCCACGGAGTCAACCAATGACCAGTTCCACTGCAGACGAGCTTCCCCCTCAATGCTTGGCTACGAGACCCATGTTCTGAAACCTGTGCAGCTGGCTGCCTGCGTAGCTTTTTCATCATGCTGGTATAGCTTGTCGCCCAGCCTTGGCTGTCAAAGCGTGCTGCAGAACTGTGTTGGACCAAAGGCGAACTTCTCTGCCAAGAAACCTATTCCGTCCAACAAGAAGTTGCATCAAAAACTTGCATGGACCGCGAGCAATAAGGACAGACACGATAACCGAACATCACAGACTAGACATCGCTTGCAGAAGCACTGTGCGTTCTGCTCACAGGCTCAAGCCTCAGCTCTGGTGCCAACACTTCTTTTCGACACCGTGGCGAACGACTCACCAAAAGGTCAACAACAGTCGCCGTGGTGTGCTTTCATTTGCCACTCGGCATCAATTGGAGAGCTAGTGTGCGTTCTGCTCACAGGCTCTAGCCTCAGCTCTGGTGCCAACACTTCTTTTCGTCACAGTGGCGTACGACTCAC